CTACTCTGAGTAAATTGGTCATTGTTAAAAAATTTTTTTTTACATAGTTTGGTAATGATATGTCATATTTTCTAAATGATCTGAAGTCTACTCTTAGAAAGATGGTGTCATTATGAGACAATTTCTTTTAATATAAGATATTATGCAAAACAACATGATCTATATAAGGTTTTTTTAAAATTGATTTACAACTATATTTATGTGATCTGTAGGAAAACAGTTGCTTGAGAATGGAGTTATTAGTTAACAGCCTTCTCCCCACATTTTATCCAATCAATGGTCCCATATCAGCTACTCTATAATCCTCTTTCAGATTCTTTAAAATATGTTTGTTTTTTTAGATTATCTTTAATTCTGAGATTATAATCTTCAAACTCATGTCCTAAACAAATCCTCCTTTCATATTCTCATAGAAACTTATTCTTAAGTTCTTAAAATTTGTTGCATTAAAATTCCATACTAAAATTAAAGCTTGGGTTGTATGTAATACTTTGAGTCAATGTTTTATAATTCTATTTCAATACTTCTGTTTGATATCTTGAAAAAGATTTAGATAACTGATTTAAAATAAAATCATGCAGCATTCAGACACATCAATTGGGACTGATGAGAGAGAACAGAGTATAGGTGTTCAAGAACACATCCAGAGAATGTTTATCTGTAGAAAGTAGATGTTCCTCAGACACTTTTGTATGAGTGAATGAATTGCCAGGGAGCTTTATGATAAAAGGCTGATTATGAACATGACAAAAGTAAAGAAATCAATAGAAACGAATAACTTTAGGGAAACCCATCAAATTCAGGCAATTATTAATATAAAATAAAACAGAATGCTAGAAATTTTGTGACTATTTTACCTATGTGTGGCAAGAATTGCATGTATAGAAATATACTTCAGACAAAGAATTCCTTATATTTTGCCTTGTCACACGTCATAAGAACTCTGGGTGAACTGTGTTTGCCTTATTTTAGAAACTGTGGAATACACACATCAGCAGAAAGAAATAAGAGTGTTTGGCCTTGAAAGAAAAACACTCCAGGGAGATGTGATGCATGCCTTTGAAAATTGTAGAACTGTCATATAAGAAGAACTAGCTGTATTCTGTTCTGCACTAGAAGAAAAAGACAGTCAATGGCTGGTATGAGTTACAGAAAGAAAGGATTTGGACTTAAAATCAAAAAGATAAGACTTGCCTGTAAAGAAAAAGGGTGTTGCATGAGATCATACATTTCACATTACTTGAAGTGTTAAAGTAGATAATGCGAGATAAACTGATGGTGCTGGATTTGATTACTAGTATTAATTCATTCGGTGTACAATTTTTTACAATCCATGATATAAGAAACAGTTTGATAGCTCCCAGAATACCAAGGTGAATCAAGTAGATCTTCAAGTAGATTGTTGTCTTAGTTAGCAAGTAATTAGAAAGCTGTGTTAGAGGTTTGTTAGATTCAAGTACAATCTAAGTCATAAAATACAGTTACTAGGGTTCCAATTCATACATGCATGACTTTATTCAAAATAAACATGCCTAAACATGTCTTCATGATCAGTGGAGGGCAGAAGATAAGTTCTCCCAGTCATCAACTGGTCTTTGTCTCATTAGGATGCCTTCATTAAAAAGGTCCAATACAAACAGAAGCTTCTGAGAGAATCTTAACGGCCAGTAAAATTTCAAGACAGAGAGATCAGCTAGAAGGTTTCGCTGACTTTTTTTTTGGAAGGGTTAATATTGATAGGGAGTCCTAGTATGGCAATGTAAGATAAACAGTAGACCACACTAGACAAAGGCTCAAACTCAGCAGCTGCTCCTCAGAAATCCTATATAGGGTCACTGTGAGTCAGAACTAACTCACCAATGCTTAAAAACAACAACAATCTTGATAGATTTTCTTGAAGGATACAGGACAAAGAGGGGACTCATTAGGAAGAAAGTTAAAAAAACAAAACAAAAATCAGTTTTGGTGATTTTGTAAAAGGCCAGGAAAGGCACACCAATAAACACCTATTCATTCTTTAAGGGTAGCAAGGACCGCCATATAAGATTTTTATTGGGAAATCGTAACTACCCTGATCTTGACCCTTGAGACTTCTTTAAATTCCCAACACACCCCTGAAGAAAACATTTTAAAGGAACACAATTTGATTCCTTCAGGGGTACCAAAAAAATGTTTTTATGCACTGAAAATCTAAGAGCAAAGAATTCTTCAAGAAAGGCTAAGATATGGAAACACAACCTTAGGAAGATGCATAGACCTAGATGAAAAGTATCTTAAGAAACAATAGCTTCACTTCTTGGTGTTTTTGTTTAACAACAAAGATTTCTATGTTTTATAGTAATTAAGTTTGAGCTATCCTTGTATGTGACACAGGATGCTATTGTAGGAAATCACCGAGAGCTGAAGGAATGAGATGAGATACTCATGAGAAAAACTAGTGTAGTGACTACTAAGCCCTAAAGAATAGACAAGGCTTATTATAGAGGATATTAAACTGTATCATCTCTAAACTTCCTTACAGACTGAAGATAAAGTCTTAAGAAACCTGATGTTCCTCAAAATACATACTTGGATATTCATACACATCATTTTTGGAATGATGGCAAAATATTTTTAATCATATTTTATTAGTGCATTGTTCAGCAACAGCAGAGATAGAGACAGAGGTGGGGGCATGGAAAAATAGAGCAGCTGAGGATTCTGAAATCATGGAAAGAGAATGGCTGTGTGCTGGCAGCCAGGAGGCAGGCCTGCAGAATGTGCCCTTTGGTTGTTTAACTGATTATATATTCCTGGATGTTTTTGTGTACATCCCCAAGAAAACTAAAAAAAATCCTTAAACAAATCATAAGAATAGAGGCAAATAATGTCAAATGATGATGTACAGAGGAGATTGTAATCATTGCAATGAAATGATGAGTGTAAAATCAGTGTTCTCCCACGTGAACTATCACTCAATTCAAAATAAAAACTTTTTAAAAAATGCATTGTTGTTGTTGTTAGGTACTCTGGACTCAGTTCCAACACAAATCAACCCTGTATAGAGTTTTCTTGGAGTGGCTGGTAGTTTTGAACTGCTGGCCATGAAGTTCACACTAACTTTGCAGTCTAGTGCTTACCTTATAGTGCCACACCACCCATTTAGCATTTTAAAAATAATTTCATATTTTAAGCTTATTTAAGTTTTTTCTAAAATAAAATTACTAATTTCTATATGAACTGCTACAAAGAGAACTTCTGTATGTTTTAAAAATAAAATTTAATTTTGCTCATGCTGTTGCAGCTGTTTTTGAATTATCTTCAACAACAGTTTACTTGCATGTGATATTAACAATATTGTTAATTTCCACATTCCCTTGGGTCACCTTTCTTTGCACTGTGTTAGGATTTCTTTTAAGTAGACAGTGGAATTACAGATAAAATGGGGATTATGTCCTGGTGTGGCGCTGTGGGTTAATGCGCCAGATTGCAAAGCTGTTTGAACTGCAAGGTCGGCGGTTCAAGCTCACCAGTCTCTCTTCGGAAACCCTGTATAGGGTCGCTATGGGTCAGATCCGACTCAATGGCACTTCACAACAACACCAGCATATTGCATTAGGCTTCTTATTTGTATCCTTTAGATTTGTGTTGATGATTAATATTATCTTTTTATTAATATATGTTACTTTATTTAAGAAACTACACTATTAAAGCCACACTGGTTTTGAAGACAGATGCTCTGCAGTGTAACCAAAAAAACATTTGTTAGAGATTGAAATTTGATATAAAAGTTTTCATAGTTTTCTTGAAAGAAGTTCAGAAGGTTTTGATTTCTGTACTGTGAATAAATATGTATTAAAAATCAGTTGCACAACTTGGAGATAGGGGCAGCAGATATGAGAAGGATTTATAATTGTATATAGTGAGATTCATGGTTGTAAATATATATATTTATTCACACAATCATTTATTGAGTAAGGACCTCTGGTAGTTAGTGGTTACAAATTGGGCTGCTAACCTCAAGATCGGCAGTTTGAAACTAACAGTCATTCCGTGGAAGAAAGATGAGGCTTTCTGCACTGTTCTGCTAACTGTTAAGTTGATGATTCAAATCCACCTGAATGGACGCGTTGGCACACAGCACAAGCAAAAAGAACACAACTTAAAATGTTGGCAGTTTGAACGTAGTAGTTGTAGAAGAGAGACCTAGCATTTTGCCTCTTTACAGGAGTTCAGTCAGGTAAAACCTATGGAGTTGTTCCACTGTATAAAACACATGGGATTCCCATGAGTTAGAATCAACGTAATGGTGATGGGTCTCTTCATTGGCAAAGCTTAGTGAAATGTAAGTGAAAAGTCTGCACCTGAAAGATAAAAGAGGTATCCTGAAAGACAAAATAAAATATTTAAAGAGATATGTAGTGCTATCAAAGAAAACACTTAGAAAATGAAAATGAGATGAAAGAAATGGAAACCATTAGAAATCACACACTCAGCATAACTGATTCAAATGATAATGTATTTATTTAATATATATATACATATATATTTTTTCTTTTTCTTATAAAGATAGGATCTGCTATATAAATGTTTACACTTGGTCAGCTTAGTAAATGGTGACCATTTCTGATTGGTTCTAGAGTTCTTTAACCATATTCTTTGCTGCTACATAGTATTTTCATATGGAATTGGGTGTCCTGGTGTGGTACTATAGAAAAAGTGTTGGATTGCTAACCACAAAGTCAGTGGGTAAAATTCATCAGCCACTCCTTGGAAACCATATGCAGAGTTGCTATGGGTCAGAACCTACATGATGACACTCAGCATAAATAGCAAACAAAATATATTTAATTATACCCTACTCATTTGTTATTTGGGGGTATGTTGCTTTTTAAAAAGCACATAATTTTTTTTTACCATGTCTTTGCTTAAGAATCGAGATAGAATAATATTCTAGGTGCAGGTAATTTTCTTCTGGGAAACAATGTGCTGTTCATATTTTATTATCTTTTCCACTCAAGGTGTTATAAGGACAGCTTTGCCGAACATGGATAGAGAAGTCAAAGAACAATACCAAGTGCTCATCCAAGCTAAGGATATGGGTGGACAACTGGGAGGATTAGCTGGGACCACAATTGTCAACATCACCCTCACTGATGTCAATGACAATCCACCTCGATTCCCCAAAAGTAGGTTTTCTTACTCTTACAGTTTGAATTATATTGTTCTTGAATGCCACAGGAGCTGTAATTATTTTCCAGAATTTTTTTGTCTATAGCAAGCAAAAGCTGATGGATAAAGATTAAATTCTTTCAAAGTTTAAAGTTTTGATCAGAATCATGTACAGTGTTATTTTAGTGGAAAATAATAAACATAAGCCAAGGATTAGCTGATGGTTCTATGTCATCTGTGCATATTAAATTATTCACAATATGTTGGGATATTACTCTAATTTCTTATTAATCAAAAACGTAATATGTTTATATGCTACCATGCCTCATTTATATCATGTAATTAGTTTAAAAATGATCTGCCTATTCCTTAGTGACAATAGGTGCTGAACCATTTGTAAGCCTTTCATGTCAATATCAGATGATCTTACCTTGTTGCTATTTACATTACTTCTGACTGGTTATTTCATTTTAGTTTTACAATAGGTGAAAATTGCTACCATTTTATGATAACAGCATGATTCACACCTGCACTTTCTCTGTAACTTTGTGTTTCTTATTGAAAATGAGTACTTCTCACTTATGTAAGATCTTGTTTCCTTCTGCAGTATTACATTTAACACCAATCAGTACCTAGCTGATCCCTAGTATGTCTTCAGGGTTTATTTCAGTGTTCCTCAGACTCAGAACACAGATACTTAATATTCCATTGGGTATGTAAACCTCTTGAAGGCTGGTGACATCACTAACTACTTTTTTGCAAGAAAAAAAAAAAAAAAAAACTGAATGAATTTAGATCTACTGCTGAGAATATTACATTAGATAGGATTTTTATTTATTTAGTTCTACATTTTTCCATATTTGTAACTTCAGAAATGGCTCTGTCTTTCCTTTTTAAAATCTTCCAATTATATTTTCTTCATGGATAGACTTTTTTTCTTAGTGATCAGGAAGCCTAATTGCTAAATATTGAGTGGCAATTATAAGCCATTATGCTTTAGGGGGTGGGATGAATGTGACAAATGGTTACTATAAAATATGATGTGATTAATAACACAGAGAGTCTTAGAATAGAGCTTCTCCTTTCTTTGCAACTAAGGGAGATAAAAAGACAATTAATAGGAATAAATATTAAAAAGGATAAACAAATAATGCATTTGATTCTGTAGCATATGGCATTGATAAAAAATATATTCATAAATCTAAATGCACTTTAAGATATTTCTTAAGTGTGGCAAGCTAAATTAGCTAATTGAAGAAGACAATTTGGGAGATTCCTAGTGGTTGTTAAGTGCCATCAAATTGGTTCTGACTGATAGCGACCCTGTATAGGATTTCTGAGGAGTAGCAGGTGGGTTTGAATCACTATCCTTCCGGTTACCAGTCCAGTGCTTATCCTACAGAGCCACACCAGGACACTGTACTGTTTAAAAGTGTGGCATGGTAACTTCAGAAACCATTTTGGGTTTTGAGGGCATAAAAAAGATCACAAGGTGGGGAAAACAGTCTGTACTGGAATCAACTAAAATTTGAGGGTTCAAACCTACCAATTAGCACTATGAAAGAAAGGTTTATTGACTATTTTCATAAAGATTACTGTCATGAATACATAATTAATCTCAATTCTACCTATAGCACATGGAATCACCATGGGTTAGAATTGACTCAATGCTACAGTTTGTTTGTTGGTTTTATTATAGAAAATATTCCATCTAGATCATGAAGATATTCCCTAGGCAATACCAATATTTTCATTCACAGGGTGTTAGTGTTATAATTCTACTATATATTGTCATATGAGGGACAAAACCAGCAAAACAAACAAAGCAATAACAACAAAAAAGCCTCTCAGTGGAAAGATACATCCCTGGACAATATGGGTGAAGGCTGCTTTGTATAAGTTTGAGAAGGAGTACACCCAAATAGACTGAGAGTCTAGAAAATCAAAATATCTTCATGACAAAGAGAGTGGGGTATGCTTAGGAATCAAGTTATGACCACAACAATACAAAGAAAACTTTGACCAGATTCCACCTACTATTGAAAAGACACACAACTCCAGTTGTAGGCTTGATTGAGATTTATTCAACATTGAATCTGTAGGTCTAAGATCTTCAATCTGGTGTACAAGTAGGTGTGATAGTGATTTGCTGGTGGCTTTGCAGTAGAGTTCTCTCCTTCCATATGGGTGACCCAGGCTCATGTGTGGAGCACGGACCTCAGTGGAGCCACTATCTGTTTTGTCAGTGAAGGTTAGTGTTTTGTTTCAATGCTAGACACAGTTTCTGGTAATCCTATGCACAGGGTATGCAAGAGTCAGGGCTAGTGGACTGCAACTAACAATAAGAAGAAGATGAAACAGGCGAAGTGGAGGTGTGAGAGAGAAGGAAATGACAATTTATAGACTCTCTACCTGCCTAAACAGGAACTTTTATGTTTGTGATCTTATTTCCTTCTCACAACAATACTTTGAGATCAATATTTTTCACGTTACTGTTAAGAAAATTTAGGCTTAAGGAGATTATATATGGGACATTTTTTTTCAGACTTTGAAGTTAATTTTTTTCTAGTTCAACACATTTATCTCCCACTCTGTTGCTGTCAAAGAAAGTTGGCCATTTTTTATGTTAAATATAAAGTTTACATATAATCAAAATGTTAATGAAAGCTTTACAAAATTGGTCATATTATCCCTGGTTTACAGGATTATCCAAAGAAAAATTATAAAGCCAACACACATTACATCTACCATTTACCATTTGGGAGTGTAAGATAAACACTTGTCTGTGAACTACAAGGTCAGAAGTTCAAACCCACCAGCCAATCCTCAAGAGAAAGAAGAGCTTTTATTTTTACAGTCTCATAAACCCAATATGGAGTTGCTGTGAGTCAGAATAGATTAACAACAATGACAACATGTGACATTTGGGATTCATTTCACTCTATGTAATAGATGGGAGATTATTTCAAATAAGAAGGCAAAGGATTTTCAAGTTTGGCATGAAGAAAAAATTACATCCCCAGAAATTTTGCAAGTCTTTATGTTAGTCCCTTTTACTGTATGGTCAGTAGCAAAGCAAAAATAAAATAAAATAAAATGAGCACAGAAAAGTGATTGATCTCTTTAGATTATAATTTCCACTTCAGCAGATATCTCTCTTATGTGGAGCAAATGAGCGATACATGTGACATATATTGCAAAACTTAAATAATAGCCTTTTGCATATGAAATACAAGAAAACATATTCATCAATAATCCATATATGACTTGAAAGGTAATTCCCATTAGCCAGCTATATTTGTTCTTGTCTGTTAAGCATTGGTACCCAAAATAAACAACAACAACAACAACAACAAAAAACCCTTCTCCAGATTAACTTCATGAGATACTTATCATTGCTTACAAATACACTAACAATGTGCCTGGCTTTCTGTGTACCCAAAGGTTTACATGACATAATCAATCACCCATTTTCATCCATTTCCTTCTGTGGCTATGTTATAGATAAAACACACACACACAAGCTTGAATGTATATGTGTATATATTTATTTGATATATGTGTAAATGTGTTGATTTATCAGTGCTTAGAAATAGATGGCTCCTAAGATATGAATAACCTACCAATTTGATTTGATGGTGTTAACACTGACATTGGGTATTAGCTAATGCACTTTGCAAAGTGATTTGCATGTGTATTCGATGTCAATCTTACTAAAAGCTGAAGGGTATACTCTCAGTTTTAGAAATAACATAGCAAGTGTAAGAAAGGTTAAATAACTTGTCCAAAGTCACACAAACACTAGATGGTAGAACAAATAAATGTGCAATTTAGACAGTAACTACAAAACCCTAACATTTTACTGGACTCTCTTTTCAGTGTTAGTCTTTAATACCTATGTTTGGGCCAAAATATATGATAGAAAACTGGGAAATTTTATCAAAAACACAAACAGGGGTATTGTTTCAGAAATAGATGTAATATATGACATGTCAAAAGACTTCTACCTATTGACATATAAAGAAAATACAGTTTCTTTGAAAATAATTTCTATTGAGTTATACAGCTATCAGTTACTATAATCAAAGATATATAGAGCAAAGATCTCCACCTGTCAAAAATAAACTATTGAAATATGCTGATGGTTTCGATTCCTTGAATTTTAAATGAAAAACCACCTAATATGCCAGTCTGAATTATGCATTATGGAATCAAATCAACTAAGTGATGTGGTAAATTCACATTAAGCAAAATAGCCATGCATCTCTCACTCAGTCTCATTCTTGAACACACATATACTAATTTTCTAATGAATGTGAAAAGAGTTTAAATAAAAAAAGCACACCATATACAAAAGTATGTTGTTGTTGTTAGGTCCCATAGAGTCTGTACTGACTCATAGCGATCCTATGCACAACAAAATGATACACTGCCTAATCCTGAGCCAACCTCACTATTGTTGTCATGCTTGAGTCCATCAGTTGCCACCTGGCCAATCCATTTTATTGGGGGTATTTCTCTTTTTCTCTGACCCTCCACCCTACCAAACTTGATATCCACTGGTAATTCCTGACAATATGTCTGAAGTATGAGAGACAGAGTTTGACCATCCTGGCTTCCAATGAGCACTCTGGCTGCACTTCTAACATGAATCTAATTGTTCTTTTAGCACCTTAGTCCTCAAACTAACGTCTTTGCTCCTCAACACTTTAAAAGGGTCTTGTGCAGCAGATTTGCCTAACGCAATACGTCATTTGATTTTATGACTGCTGCATCTGTGAGTGTTGATAGTTGATCCAAGAAGAATGAAATCCTTGACAATTTCTCCATTGATAAGAAAGTTGATTATTGGTCCAGTGGTCAGGATTTTTGTTTTCTTTGCATTGAGAAGTGGTCTTTGATCTTTGTATACATTTAATTTTTCAGAGGTAATTTTCTTTCTTATTTAATAATATTAGAACACCAGTTATTATATTGTTGTTGTTGTTGTCATGTGCTATCGAGTTGGAACCAACTC